TTTTTTAAATAAATTTGCAAATTAAATTTGATTTAAAAATAATAAGTCATTTTAATTTTCAAAAATCATAATAATAAATAAATAAATAAATATGATTTTCATTAAATAATTTGAGGTAATAAAACATTTTTACTTAAAAAAGAGAAGCAAAGTTGAAAGATTGGAACAATTTTCTAAAGCAAGAGCCAAACTTGATAAACCGCTGTTTCCAATTTTATTATATCTTTTAATAAAATTAGTAAAATTTTTTTAAAGAATATTAAAAAAACGCTTAATAAAAACATGAATCCTAATTTTATTTAATAATATTTGTATGCATTTACCTGAAGTCTAGAAATAAATAAGATAGAATATTTGCCTTTTTAAAAGCAATGCTTAAACCTTCCATGCATTTATCTCCAGCTTACATAGAACTATTAAAAAAATATTTATTGATTTTTTATTTAAAATAAAGTTAAAATATTTTTGTCAAAAAAAATACAAAATATCTCAGTTAAATTTAATAAATTTAGAACATATTTATTTACCTAAGTTCTAGACTCAAGCTAGATAAATTAGTTAAATCTGATAAAGTTAAACCTAAGCTTAATGCACTTTCGTCTTCAATTTAATTAAATCTTAAATAATGTTTAGATAAATATTAAAAAAGATTTCAAAAAATAGAAATGTGAATATTATTAATTAAAATAGTTAAAAAATGAAAATATTTTTACTGCAAATTAAGTTTCAGAGTTGAGAGATTACTAAATTTGGATAGATTTTAGCTAAGATTTTAAAGTCCAAATAATGTGATGTTTCTTTCACTTAAATTTAAGTATATAGTAAGTAAATAAATTAATTTATCAATAAATATTTTATGATAAATTAATATTCTTACGAAAAATTTAGTTATAAGTTAGACAGATTCTTATTGTTTTCTAAACTAGAAGTTATGCACTCTAAACCATCTTAGCCAATATCACAAAGACTTTTAATTTATTAGAAATATATTTATAAATATAATAATAAAGTACAAGTGATTAACTCAAATAAATTTTAATTCAAAATAATTGATTATATTTTATACAGCAACTAATTCTTTTTACTTTAGCAGATGAAAAAATATTTTTTTATTCTTGATTTTTTATTTTGTCATTAATAAAAATTTTATTTTTTATTATATTGGGGATTAGTTTAAATTAGAAGAATTATAGAATAAGAAAAATTAAACTATTACCGTAAAACTAATTCTAAAGTAGAGATATTAACAACTTGTCTCAATGCTGAACTTAAGATTTTTGCACCTTCTATTCCAATAATATTACTGCTATTTATTGATATAAACAAATTAAAATTCTTATTTAGTTAAATATTATTCAAAAAATAGTAAATATCATAATAAGCAATTACAAATAGTAAAAAAAAAATTTCAGTATAAGTAGTTAATTAATTAAGTAATGAATACAAATGGGAAATGAAACATTTAAAATAAATAAATAATTTTTTTTACCTAAGGTCAAGTGATAAAGAAGATATCTTTTTACAATTTGTTAATGTTTAACATAACTCAAGTATGCCCTCTTGTCCAATTTAGTATCCACTTTTTATAGATAGAAATAAAGATAAAAAGTAACATAAAATAACTATTTAAAATCAAAAAAATAATATTTCGGATTAATAAAGTTTAATAAATTTTATAAATTACACAAGAATTAGCTATAAATCTTGTATTTCAGTGCAGTTAGCAAGATTTAAACCTAATTTTTAAGTTCTTTTTTCACCAAATATATTACTACTTTTATTTAATTAATTAACTAATTAGCTATATTTAGTCAAATAAAATTAATTCATTCATTCTTTATTTTATCAACTAACAAAATGAAGAATTTGAAATTTATATTAGAATAATTAATAATTAACTATAAGTAATTAGATAAAAATTATCATCAAAGCAATTAATTTTTACCTTATACTTAGCACAAGGGTAGACAAATTAATGCAGTTTGATATAGCTTTACCTAAAATAGAAGTTTCTTCTTCAGAAATATTGTTATAACTTTTAAATGTTTATTAATAATCAATCAATAAATCATTTGCAAAAAAAAGAGCAGTAGAATAATAGAATGGTTTTAAAAAACCACACATATTTATTCATACTGATTTCAAGTTCAATTAATAACTAGTCTTAATTGCAATAATTGTAATATTTAAAAATAAATAAAAGGTAAGAACAGACTTATTTTCTTATAAATAATCTTTTACTTTAAAAAAAGTTTCAAAGTTGTTAGATTAACTTATTTCTCATAAACAGAAGCTAAACTTTAAACACCTAATAATCCAAAAGCATTATAACTTTTTTATTTTTATAATAAAAACTTGTTTAAAAATATTTTTTAATCTTAAATAATTTTAAAAAAACAATTAATTGTAAATTTTAAATTCATTTTTAAATTATTCAAAATGATAAAAAAATTGGTTTTCTTGTTTTGTGTGTTCATTAAATAGATTCTCTAATAAAAAAAGGAATTTATTTTACTTTAGGTTGAGCTTTAAAACCGAGAGTCTAGTGAGTTATAATAAAGCTAAACTTAAGATTGATACTTATCCGTCATTTAATTTATCACTATTTTTGAAATTAGAGGTAGATTTAATTAATTGTCAAAAAAATTGAACAAATTAAATAAAAGCAAAAATAAATTAAATAGGAAAAATAAATAAATAGAATTATAATGCATAAAATTATTAATTAATTAAGTTATCAGATACAAATTTATTTATTTATTTATGTTTTTTAGAGTTTTTAATAAATAACTTCAAAAGTAAAATAAATTTTAGAAGATTTGTTTACCTGATTTCAAGACTCAAAGTCTAGAGATTGGTGCATTTAGCTAAAGCAGAACTTAAAAGTTGCATGCCCTCAAGACTAATTTCATTTGAGCTTTTAATTTTAAAATACTTTATAAATAAAAAAAAACAAAATAAGAAATAAATAAATAAATAATTAATTAATATGGTGAAGAAATAAATAATACTTTCATTAAAGTTAAAACACTTTTTAATGATAAGAAAATAAAAGAAATAAGGAACAAAAAAATAAAAATGATAAGTTTAATTGTAAAATTAATTGAAAATTCAACAAAATTTTTATGTAAAATAAATAAATAATAAATAATAGCAATTATATATATTTATTTACTTCATTTCTAATTGCAAAGCTTAGAGATTAATGCATTTAGATAAAGCAGAACTGAAATTTGATATTCCTTCATGATTCATTTATTAATTATAACTATTTATAAGATTTAAAAGTTCTTACTTAAATTTTTATTTATTATTTATTGATTAAGATTTTGGAATCAATCAATTTTGTTAACAATTTAATATTTTTACCTTAAATAAATGTGAAGATCAGAGTGAGACTATAGACTAGAGTTTAAAAACTTTTTTTGTACAAAAAGAATGAGTGATTGAATAATAATTTGATATTTAAATAATTACGTTTTAAAGACTACTATAAAAGATTTTGTGTTAAATCATTTTTATTTTCAAATATTTTCAAAAATCTATTTTTATTTAAGTACTAATTGTATATTATTTACAAATAAATTAGCTAGCAGTTTAATTTATTAATTTGTTAGATAGATAATGTCTATAGTGGAATTTGGATTTGATTTATTAGTATTAAGCTAAATAAATAAGAAATACTATTAACTATCTATCCATCATCAATAATTTTTGAAAACTTTGGTATTCCTAAAAAAATTAATTATCCTATTTTTGTAAAAATTTTATCTTAAATATAAATTAAATTTTTATTTTATTTGATTTTTATTTATTTTTTCATTTCTTTCATTTTTTCTTAAATAACTTTTTTTTATAATTATTTAAACAAAAAAAAACAATTTTATATTTTCACGTTGTAAATAAAGAAAAAAATGCACATAGATAATTCAATTTATATTAATAAAAATTAAGTATTTACTTCTTCTAATTTGTAAAAATATTTTCATCATTTATTTTTTCTATTCTTTTAAAAAATATTGAATATGAATTTATGAAATTTAATTAATTATAAGTTATTTATAAATTAATTAACTTTTATATCAAACTAATTTAGACAAAAAGAACAAACAAATAAATAAATTTTAATAATTATCAAAAACAAATTTGCTTTTTTATGGAGATATCCCAAAAAATTTAAAAGTTAATGCAGCATTCATTCATTAATTAATTAATTATTTATTTATTAAATCTTAATATTTCTATTATAAATTTGTACTTTAAAAATATTAATAATCTAAGATTACTTACTTACTTACTTACTTACTTACTTACTTACTTACTTACTTACTTACTTACTTACTTACTTACTTACTTACTATTAATATTTTGATAAAATTCTATTAAGTATATACCTACCTTCACTCTCTGAATTTTAAAAGCTCTAGAGAGTAAAGTATTAATTAATTGTACTCTATTATTTAAAAAGTTATTAAGTAGATATAAATGCACTATTAGGTGGATGCAATTTATATACCTAAATAACATGTGCTTGCAAAAAAAAAACTAATGGGATTAGAGAATAATTAGAGATATTATTAATATTTCTATAATTAATTACTGAGATAAAACAAAAAAATCTACTTATAAACATTATTTTTATAAAATTTAAGGACATTAATTAATAGAATTTTTTCAAATATAACTAGCTTCACTTCTCTAATTAATACTAAAAATATATGCTTTAAATACAAACATTAAGATTAATTAATTAATTAATTATTCTGTAATATCTTTTAATAAAAGCAAATATATAAATTATTATTTGATAATAAATTATTTATTTTATTTGTTCTTTTTATCTATTTATAATTAATTAATTAAATTCCATAAATTGCTTGCTATTCAATACTTTTGAAAAAAAAGTAAATGATATAATAAATTAAATATTACTACAAATTAGAAGAAGTAATTATTTATTTTTTTATTAATATTCTTTAAATTTATTTTTATTAATAAAAAAAGTTTTTAAACTCTTCACTTATATCTCATTAGGCTCTCCATATTTACCTGACGTATATTTAATTTATAAATATTATTATTATTATTATCAATATATTTAACTAATACAAATTCTCATTATTATTCATGGATTTTTATTAAAACAAAAATTTTAGATATTTTAACTTAATTTTCATTTGAATTTATCATTATTTATTTTTCATTTTTTATTATTTGATATTTTTTCCACATTTTTTACTATTAACACTTACACTTGATTAAAAAAGTTTTTTTGTTTTGACTTGTAATATTTTTAATTTCAAAAATTAATTTAAAATATTAAAGGTCTTTTAATTTATTTGATTTATTTCCTT